CGTGCTAATCGGCATCACTGTGCCTATTGGCACAGTCGTGCTAATCGGCACCACTGTGCCCTTGTCGGCACAGCTCCTACTTTACCTTCAATCTGTTCCATTTGACTGATCCTATTTTCACTCCCTTTAGGCATATATGGCTCATTTTCGGTTTATGTTGGCAAAATACTATCCCGTGCCACAAGTCTACATGCAGGCGGGATACCCGAACTCCGTCCAGCGCGCGGCTATGATAGCGCATATTGCGTTAAGTGTATATATTGAGGACGTCAAGCAGCTCGTCGCATTTGGTGTCCGTAGGGCGATAAAATCCGTTACACCTGCAATACTGGAATCCATGTCACCTTCTGATCGTCAGCACCATGAACTCCGACTTACCCGACTGGATCAATGGCTCAAGGTTGATAACCCTCTCTCTCACGAGAAAGGTGTATACGCCACGATAACCTCCGCTATTTGTGAACACAGCCTGGACATTGCCCAAGGTCTTCCTGCTCCCGATGATAATGACACCACTCAGCGCGAATTTGCCACGGCTCTGTATGGGATGACGAAACCTCATCATCCGCACACTCTCGGTGCACCCCTTATATCGCGTGGGGGATCTATTGCCGTTTTGCAGGCGGCGGTAGAATTGATTCACGCCTACGTACCCCCTGCTTTAGAAGGATTGCAACATGAACAATGGTGCATCGATGTGTTGCTCATCGCTGCAAGAGGGTTGCAGATATGCTATGTTCCTTGGTCTCCTCCCAACCCTCAGGGTGCTGGTCGTCGATCATCAAAAGTTGTTTGGAATTATTGGAAGAATGTCTCGAAAGCAGATCGCAGTCCTCGTCCCACTTTGATTGATCAAATTGAACATGCTTTTGCCCTCGGACCATCTCAACGTGGCAAGGAGGCTGCGTTTAATGCGGCTATGGCAAGCAGTCAATCTCCCTGGGATGTTGCCTCCATCCGCCTCTCCGAACTAGGCCATTATTTGAATCGCCAGGTGCTTCCTACAGAAATGAAATTTTCGTATGCGAACATCGCGCAGCAAGACACAGGATACTGCAGTCAGACCTACCGTTGGGTGCTGGCTCACTTTGACTTTGGTAAACCACTACATCAGCTCGCTCTGATATGCGGCATCGTTATGTCTAAGGTCGCCCCGAATGTGTTCTATACTACTCAAGACGATCCCCTACATATTCCGCCCACGATGACACCAGACGAGGTTACTTCCTTTATCGTCGATGCCCCTTGGATCACCAATACCACGCGGAAGGGGGCGAAAGACGGTGGCCCTTTTGTCATTATGTTCACAGTCCTGATTATCTCACTTTTGGAGCCAGCAAGCCCCCTTTATCGTCAGTACGTTGCAACGGGCAAACGACATGGATTAGGAGGAGCTTGGACGAAGAAACATTCTGCGAAAGGGATAACAAGCTTCAATCTAATTCGAATGGGCATTGCAAACGCGCTCACATCTAAGCAGGTTAAGGGCTCGTTGTTTCACATTGATTGGGAGTTCAAACCCACGCCTGTTCTGCACGAATATCATCAACAACTTACCGAACTGTTCCGCAATGGTGAACATGGTGCCTATGATGCCGTCTCTCTACTTGTGGGCTGCGAGATGGCCAATACTCTTGTGAAGCGCGGAGAACTGAAGCGGCGATCCGGCGTTCCCATTCTTACAAATCCAACAGGAATTCCGCTATCTAACCCACTGCTACCCGGCTTGTCTTCGAATAGAATCTCACAGCGGAAGCACCAACTGAAGCGAAGCATGTCACTAGCTGCATATGGTGATGATCCATTCGCACTTGATGAGCCTCGCCCTTCTCAGCGACGTCGCGCATCTGCTCTTCATACAACTCGTCATGATATGGACTTCATGTAATCTTATCGCGCCATACGTCTATTTATCCTGCCAACTCGCACACGCGTGCCAATTGGCTCTTTGCGTTTGTTGTCATCTGACCGATGTTTTTCTTGCATGTTTATACCTTTGGTGGCTTCGTCACGCAGCTACCACAGACATTTGTCTGATACTATTGTCGGCTCGGCCAAAGTGCACATCCATGCGCATCGGCATTCATTTTGTCGTTGATCGCCTTTCAGTTTAGTTTGATCCGTGCACAGAATTATTTGTATCAGAAACCTCACATCTAATGGATTAGCATCTAAGGTTAATCTTCCTCCGATAGTTTACCCAATTAATGTTCCTAGTATATCGGCTAGGGTGCTTCGCTCTCTCCATCGTCTTCGTCGCCCTGTATCTCCTCCAGCGACTGAAAGCCCGCTTGTCCACCGCGTGGGGCTCTTCTGACCACTGTCAGTTCATCTCTGGCTTCACGATTGCGTTAAAGGTCATCTACAACGACACGTATTCAAACAAGTCCTGGCGTGTTCACTTCAGAATATTACGAGCAAGATCGGTGATAGTGAGCAATTGTACGCCTGTTTCACACGCTGCCTTCCAGGGCGATCTAGACATGATCGAGAACAAGCAAATAGAATTCGTACGGCTAAACAAGACGACTTATACAAGGTGCAAATGTCCAATAAATGTCCAATAAATGTCCAACAAATGTCCAACAACGGCAAGAACGTACGACAAACAAGATATACTCGAAGCGTGATTATTGCTGGCTCATGCTAGAATATATTCAGTGGGTTGGTGATGTATTTAGCAAGAGATCTCACACAACTGACAGGCTATGCTTCGGCGACCGGGGGGGCATCGGATGGGGAGCTGTCCACATCCATACCTGACGTGCAAAGAATTAGATTTAGAATTAGAGCATTAGAGCAATGCCGATTGGCACGACCGTGCGATTCGGCGGCGAACTCGCCGATTCGCACACTTATGCCGATTGGCAGGTAAACCTGGTGGAGCACTTACCCGTATCCTCTGAACGAGCCTTCTTGCCCGGGCGGCGTTCACCACCGGACGACGACCTATCGCGCTTGGCCGGAAGGTTTGCACTGGGCTCAGTTGGATCCCCAGTGACATTGCCGGCGTCATCGCCTGGGGCCTCTTCAGCAATGACAGCACTGCCCGATGGCGCTTCAACTTGAGATTGTCTCCAGAATGTTGTAATGTCCTGACAAATTCAAATCAACGTGATTCGCACACAAAGTAATAGAAGGTGGCATACCTCAGGCCACAGAGTAGCGACATCGACTACTGAAGCCCGGCGACGATAGTCTTGTCTAAACGCGGAGCCAGCCATAGATGGGTCAAATGATGCGGCAGGATCGCCTTGAGTATCGCGATATGTCGCGCGCGCTGCAGCATAATCCAGGACCTGTGTAACAGTAAATATGAGTTATATAGATTAGACTGTAAAAAGAAAAAACAACTCACTTCCAACAGGTGTTCTACAGCATTGGATACACCTCGGTCGATCGCGTCCGTTGCCTGACCCGCCGATTGGACGAAGGGCAAACGCTCGATCATGCTGACAATTTTTTGAATTGCAGCGTGACGGTCGTTTGCTTGTTCTTGGCGCAGGAGGGCAACAGCCACCTTCTCCTTCGTCTCGGACACAGTATGGTTCCCGCCGGCAAGCCATTCCGGATTCTCGAGTGGCTCGGCTGGGTGTGCGAGGCCGTCAGGAAAGGGGAATTGAAAGTTGCCGCTATGGGGACGGGTGGGCGCGCTCATCAACATCAGGCCGAGATCCTTGGATATATTGTTGCGCCACTCGACGACGCATTTGTTGAAACACCTGGGGCGAACTTCGGCATTGTAGGCGCGTTCCCAATACGCACCTAGGACAAAGGGCCATAGCTTGTGGCGCGGGTCCTTCTTGCATCCGGGCCACCATGGGACGCCTGTTAAGAATAAAAGGCGCAGCTGTGGGTGGGCAGCGATAATGCGGGGCGCGCCAGAGTAGTCCCCTGCCGCCCTCGCGACCATGACCTGGCTATTGTCCTTAGCGAGGTCCCGGGCGTGAACGAGCGCGTCGAGATCTTGGAGCTGATCGACGGAATACAAAGTATTCCGTCTTGTCTTCCATTCATCTGTGGGGGCCGCTTCTCCCTCAGCCAGGGGCTGCCATTTTGCGATTTGCGCTCTCTTGAGGGAGCGCTGCTCCGAGTATACTGGAGGAGTTTGGTTGGCAAACCACTCTAAAAAAGCGACGAAGTCAGTTCTCGCTCCCCATACCGCTTCCAAGATAACAGCCGCGGGGGCCTCGTCGTTAAGCCAATCGTAATTGATTTTGAGTCCGCGCAGGACTATTATCCATGCATCTCGATTAGAGGCATCTTGGAGATGATGCCTATAGTCGATGAGCGGATCGAACATCCTGGCCAGCTGTGGGCGAGATGCATGAATTGATAACGTTGATATAAGCTCATTTGCCGACTCGCACTGGTGCGCGAATCGGCACAGGCTGCGATGGCTTATAACACCTGCAGCCTACGCCGACTCGCACCAGTATGCGATCCGGCACAAATGTGGACGTACCTCAAGTAGCCCTTGCTTGTAATGGGCGAATTCTCGGACAACGTCTGCAAATACCTTCGACGTAAGAAGTGGCATCGGGACCACGTCGTTACTATCGCGAACACTGGGAGGCATGAGGTAGAGACGCATACGCTCCCGCACGTTTATGGCGTGCGTGCCCTTTGCCGAGCCACATTCAATATCCTTCGCGAAGTGCTTGGTGATGACGGCCAGAACCGCTTGGCGATACTTCTTGAGCTCGACGATCGCGCGAGGGATGTTCATCCCCATGTCTTCCGGATGCTTGATCGTATCAGCGACCACTGCATTCAGCTCGTCAAGAATGTCGTCCGTCCAAATCTCCCAGTCGGGAGTGGCGTCTGTCCAAAGCCGACCACGCAATTCACGCAATGCCTTCAGCGCTATCGCTCCCGCAGATACCCCAGAGGGGGCGGAAATAATGTCATCATCGCGGGCGGCCTCGAGATCCGCAACATTGGCGTTGAGTGGGTCTGTAGAACCGATTATTCCAAGGAGTTGCCAATGGTGGGCCAAGTATTCGCAAATAAGCTGAAATGACATGAGATCCAGAAAAAGTGAATGCATCAGGCATTTAAGATACTTACACCCAAGTACACATCATCCATGCCTTCAATTGCCTTGACGCGGAGCAGACCCGATGCAAGAAAATGCCGGCGGCCCGGTATCAAGGCCACCAATACTTTAAGAAGTTCCGGAGTCCCAACAATTTTTGACAAGGCGTTTGAATGCCCTGAACGTACACCAGACCGCTGCCGGTGCTCTTGTAGGATATCCTTGACGAGCTGCTTGTACTCGTCGCCGCTCTTCTCCTTCAAATCCAGCAAATGTGCTTCAAGACGTTCGTCCGCCGTCTCAGCAGCTTTTGGCGTGTGTTCATTTCGGCCTAGATAGCGGCCGATTGTGCAGGCGTCCTTGTCGAGGATATCTGTGTGTCGGTGATACTTGTTAACATCATATGGAAACAACGTGAGAACGCCAGACAATGCTGCCGATTCGCACAGGTATGCGCATTGGCGATGACGCCGATTGGCATAAGGGTGCGCATCGGCGTAAAGTTATCCAAGCCGACTGGCACCAAGGTGCGTATCGGCGACCCAGAACAAAGAATATATATATGCTTACCCCGGTCATACACTCGTACAGCCCACACTGCGTTCTTTTGCAGCGTCTCCTCAAGGGCCGCAATATCTGTCTGCAGCTTCGCAGCCCGTGAATCACCTAAGGGAATTTCGTCCAGTACGGCCTTCTTGCTCGCGAGGAGCTTCTGGTCAGCAGCGACGTATCGGGTAAGGGCGACGTAGCGATGCTGGCCTGCCACCAGCGGTACCTCCAATGGCTTGACGTGATTTTTGAAGTACTCGGGTTTCAGCTTTAAGTACGGCGTCTTGTGTGTAATTGGCGGCGGTGTTTTGAAGACGGGGCCGTGGAACGCTGCCCTTGGGATTGCGATAGTCAATGCATTCTCGGGATGTAACCCGAGGACTCCTTTCGACGCAAAAGACGCCATCAGAGACGCGACGAGTGCATCCATCTGCGGTCGACGATTATACACATGCATTTTCAACACGACGTCCGGAAGATCAATCAAGTTCATAAGGCGAATTCCCAGGAATGCAGACTGGGCTTGATGCTTCAGATCCTCCGCAATCTGCTGCTGTTGCAACGAGAACGTAGTGTCTTCGTTCGCAATGGGGGCCGCAATAATTTTATTCTAAGGATTTGTTAGACACATAATCATGAGGCAAAT